TGCAGACTCATCTGAGACCTTTTCTTGTTCCTCACTTGTCCGCTGGTTAGCGTGTTGTAGCCGACTCTCACTGCTGTTGCCAGATCTGCTCATCTTGTGCAGGTACTGAAGAACAGTGCCCCTGCTGGGCCTTACCGTGCACGGTTCTTGGGCTTGCCATTCTTCATAAACTTGCCCTTGCTGCTCTCTGACAGCCCGAGCCAGACCCTTTGGTCTCCATCTCCCCTCTAGCAGGCAGCAGTGCCTTCCCCAGCTGTTCCCTCCTGCATTGCCTGGGCTTGGCTCTGCAGCAAGTCATGCCCTGCAGCCAGCTCCCAGCCTCCTGCCTCTGCTCCTGGCCAGGCTTTTTGCCCGGTGAGAGCCCATCCCTCCTGTGCCCAGCATCCCTTGTGGGCGCGTTGCACAGAGAAACCATAATTCTGTTTCTTTTCCCGATTTTGTAGCCAGAAAATCCCCAGTGAGCTGGAAGCTCATGCACTAGGGAGATGCTGCAAGAGTTGTAGCTAAAACTGCTTTGTATCAACATGGGTAAAGATATTTAGTGAAGAATTGGCTATTTGTAAGATTAAGGAAAAAAAAATATGAGGCAACTTCACATAACTATGCAGATAAATCTTGATTACATTATACTGCAGTGTTTTCTATGGGGTAGGATTTAAAAGAATTTAACTTAAAATGCCAAAATAATGTTAGTCACCTCACTTACCCTGTACTAGTATGCTGATTCCAGTAAAACTAAAGACTTAACCCAAACTGAAATAAAAGGGAAAGGAATTCACCTGTTCTTGCAGAGTAATAAAACAAACGAGTGCTGCCGTTCTTCTCAGCAAAAAGTTAGCAAGGACAGATGATGCTGCCACCAATCAATGCCAATAAAAGGGAAACCCAAGCACCCTAATTTGAAGCCATCTGCATGAAATTAAAAACACCACCCACATTTCATGTTTTTCAGTATATTAGCATGCCCCAGTGAATGGGGAATTACCATAACATTAAATAGAGTAAATGTGAGGAATTCTCTGTTCTTCCAAGGGTGGTGTTTAATGTACTTGTAATTTCTGATTTATTTTTTTCCTTATGGGAATTGAAGTAGTCTAAAAGATGTAACCCTATGCAAAGCCCTATACCTGTCAGGAACAACAACTGGTCTGAGAGGGGGAAAAGGCTCTCTGACAAAGGAAAGATCAGTCTAGAAAGTGTGTGACCACAGAAGAAACTAAAGAGCCTACTAAGGGTTTAATAAGTTCCCTAGGATATAGACCCTTCCTTTCTGTTTTTTATTTTACTTTGGGCAGGCAGAAGGAATGGGAGAAGGCAGCTGTTGCCAGCTTCCAACAGCCCTGATGTTAGCTGAAACTTTTAGGTATTAATATAGCAATGATAATTGCTGTCATCTGTTGACCACTAAATTGAAGAAACCAAGCTGAGATGGGGAACAGAGTAATTAATTCATTAGTGAGCTTGCATGGGGGCTTTGTTAAAGAAGTTTGTTCTATGGCCTGTTGAGTCCCCCTCTAAGTTCAATTTATTTATTTATTTATTGACTGATTGATTTATTTATTTATTAGTATGGCTAATAAAGCACAAAGGTGAAATGTAATCCTTTCATAGCTTATGCTGGTTATAACTAGCTATGAAAGGTAAGAATCTAAAATTTAATTCTGGCTCACTTAACCATGATAATTAGTTGCTCCTTTTAAAGCAATGCAATTGCTTTCTATTGTCATAAATTAGAATATATTATAAAGAGATAGTGTTCTTTCTTTCTTTCTTTCTTGGTGAGTTGGAAATGTGATGTCAAGAGAAGAAGCAGAGATTTACATATTATTATCAAGATAGAGCACTCTTCCTCTGAAGCAATAGTAGTAATTGGTTGTGATGGTGTACTTTGTTCTTGGTTGGTGAAGCTTCCTTGACTAAGTCACACAGTAAGTGAAAGGCTTATCAGGCAGTGTATTTAATAATTAGAAATATAAATTGCTAATAATAAATGTCAGAGGAACATATGGGGTTTTGTTTTAGACCGAGCAGTAATAACTTCAAGCATCTTTTCAGTGATTATGAAGCAGCCTTATTAAGGGAACTGCAGTACATTATTTTTCCTTCTGTGTGGTGTTTTTGTTTGCTTTTTTTCCTAGCTCTGGGTGTTTTATTGTCCTCCAGACAGGGTCATCTAGGTCTTCTTCCTGAGTGGTTACAGTTAATTCAGAACTTCACTATGTGTAGTTCAAATGATTCTTTTCCAAGTGCCTTGCCACATGCTTGTCAATACTAAATTTCTTCTGCCATCATGTTGTCCATTCCCTTTGCTTTGTTAGTTTAGAGATCATGTATCCTGAGCCTTTGAACAACTATCTGTAAATCACTGCAGCCTCCTCAGCTCCCTCTGGCAATTTACGCTAGTGGATGGCAGTCAGCGTAACGGCACAGCAGCCACTGATTTACAGGACACAATATCTTCTATTTTGCACCTTCCAATTGAATATAGATCTGAAAGTTGCTCAACCTTCAAAAAACCTTTTATGCCTTAGATGCGATGTTTCACGCAGAAATGAATTTCATTGACTCTGCAGATGCTCGCACCACCAGTGTACATTGGTATTTGCTTGGGAATTTCCGTATTTCCTGACCCTTTGTCCATTGTGTCTGTCCCTTTTCCACTGTTTAGCAATGTGCTATATTATCATACCTGACACAGCAGAACAGATCAGTCAAAGGGTGGAACCAAAATACTAAAGGCAAATCCAGCCACATCACAAAGCATTCACACGCATGCTTTGTAGCATGTGATTTCCCCCCCCCCCCCCCCACCTTGAGACAAAGATATTCCTGTCCTGATAAATCTGAGTAACTATTTTAATGATTGTACAATCTTAATGAAGCAAGATAACTACCGTGACAAGTCTGAAGCATCATTTTGTGTATGTGGACCCCATCAAAGCTGTGAAGACTGCGCGATGCTTTAAAACCAGGAGTGAAATTTCTACTGTTCGCAGCTCTTAGTTATTGTTGTACTTTATTTTAGAGTAACTGTTTTTAGAAAAATAATAACAAAAGGATTTTTATTACAGGTGGCATAACAAACAACAGCAATAATAAAGAAATGCTAGGTTTCCTTGACCTTGAGCAAAGCGCAGGAAGAGGGAAGAGCTGTGGCTACTATACTAAGATTTTTCAAGAACCCTGTCTTTGCTTTGCTTCTCCAGCACTGCTTGACAGTCTCTGCAAAGTGGCTACCTGTTAGAGTTGGAAGTATGTTTCCAGCACATTATACTGGTGATGTATTATAACTCCTTACTAAGTTGCTATGGGCATTCTTGGTAAGAAACTTGGAATAATTTTTACAATATTTCAAGCTTTCAGAGACTTTTAAACAAATAACTGGGGTAGTGAATACAAGAGTATTGTACCTCCCTGGAGATTATGAAAACAAAAGTAATCCAAATAAATCTTGGGGAGGGGTGGGGGAGCCAACCTGAGAAATGAATGCTGCTTCTATTGAACCTGCAGTCAGGCTGAAATCCCACCTGAAGAGCAGGAAAGGAAAGGCACAGCTTTCTGCTTTATTGCATTCGCATTCGGCAAGAATAAATCAGCAGTGCTTAAAGTGACGCTGAGCATGTATGAGTGTGGCACGCTGCACTGGAAGAATTATAGAAGTCATGAATTCTTCCTTACTCTGTGTCAGGTTGAGGTTTTTTGTGTGTTTATTTTCTTTAGTTTCTTTATGAACAGTTTAAAGACTTTAAAATGAAGTCATTTATAATAAGTCATTGTTTTTGATTCCAGGAGAAAATCAAATTCCCTTAGCTACATTGATTCAATAACAAATAAATAGTTTTGAACTTTGTTACTAAATTATGAGTTATGTGGGTTGTATTGCTGATCAGCACATAAAATAGCACATAGCCTCTCTGAAAACTTTTTTTTTTTTAATAAATTGTTCATGCTTGGACTCCAACTCCAAAGATATTTTTTGTTAAATACTTATAGGACAATTAAAAAAAAAAAAAAAAAGGACCCTAAAATGGACAATAAAGCGTGCCTTGAACTGCTGTCTATCATCATTTTGTTATGTGTATATATTGCACACAGCTTTCTATGGGCACTATTTCCCATACCATGCAATACTATTATACAACTGAAGATAACGCTGTTCTCTTCCACCAGTAAACTCTCAATCAAGTGCTGTGGGGTTTTTTTGTTTGTTCGTTTTTCTCTCCTCTGTTAATTCACTTTAGAATCTGGAACTAATGTGTTAACTTCCCCTGACAAGCAACTGAAGCAAGAGCTCTCCAATAGCCTTGTTTTTTTATTGTTGTTGGTGGTGTTTTTTGTTTGTTTGTTTGTTTTTCAAAGGAATGAGTTTCAGTGTGGACCTGACCAAATACAGTTTAATTTGAACGCAACGTCTCTTATGGATTATAACCTTCCCTGGTAACTTTTTGATATGCAGCCAGGTTAAACTCTGACGACTTGAAGTCATTTCTGGAAGGGACTGCATCATTGTTCATTCATAGAAACGAAGGTATGCAGCCTGAAAATTATTCCAAAAATTCAAAGGCTGCAACCCCAATCTGTTCTCTTGTGTATTTATCCAGAGGTTCCACTACTGCAGGGATTTTCAAAGTGCTTTCAAGAAATTAAATGTTCGGATAGTTGGGATATTGAAAAGGAAATCTAAAAAGAAACGTTAGCTACTGGATGCTTGTTAAGAGGGGATTTTTAAGGTGTTATTTCTCTTCGTTCTCCACAGAAGACACGAGAACAAGAGTTAAACGTGTTTATATTTCTTTATTAGAACACTATCAAGAGAGAATCTGGCTGAGGAAGCCCCAGTTTCTGTCAGCTTCACCCCGGGGCTGAAGAACCCCACAGAGTCGGCCCTGAGGGGCGTCAAGATGGCGGCGGCCACCGCGCCGCGCCGCGCCGCGCATGGGCCGCTGGGCGCAGCGGCGGCCCCGCCTGCGCGCGGCGGCGGCGGCCATTTCGGAGCTGAGGCGCTGAGGGGCTGTGGGGCCCTGCGTCGGAGGCGCGCCGCGGAGGATGGATATCAGGCCCAACCACACCATTTACATCAACAACATAAACGATAAGATCAAGAAGGAAGGTACCGCTGTGCTCGGGGGGCGCTGCGGTGGGAAGGTGCACGGGAAAGCCAGGCTGGGCTGAGCCCCCGGGACGCAGCTGCCTGCGGGGGGACCTGGGCTCCTCACAGCGTGCTTTAAAAACTGAATAAAATATGCCTTATCCTTTAGCTGGCTCTGCATTCACTGTATAGAGCCGTCCGGTTCTTAAAACCGTGTTTGGGTGCTGCTCAGGTGCCTCCGGGTGCTGCGGGAAATGGCCTGGAAGTGGAAGCAGCTCTGCTAATAAAGTGATGTGTCGAGGTGGTTCTGTGTAACGAAGGAAATGTTAAGGGCTTATTTGTAGCGTTTTAGGTGCCCTATAAGCTAATAAGTGTCCATTATTAAATTGCTTGGTTATAGTTTTTAAACGCGATATTTGAAATGACCAATAAAGCCTGCAAATCCCATTTTTAAGTACATTTTTTAAGGTATTTAAAGATAAAAATTTCGATAAGAAAACAAAAAAACGCTGATGAAGCAAGCTGCATTCTTGTATTTTTCTATGTATCTGTTGCTTTTGGAAGGTATCATACTTCACAGGTTGCTTTAATTGGCTTCCTGTTGATTTTGATTTTTTTTCTTTATATAGGGCTGTGGCTGGTCAAGAGCAGCTGGAAGAAGTGATGTTGGGCTGGTATTGTCAGGTCTCAGCAGCAATAACCAAGAGGCAGTGCTCTTATGTAGCTGAAATGTTTCAAGCGTAGGACTTGTCACTTAAAATAATTATGCCATACAGAGGATATATTTAGCTTAATTGGAGAAGATTAAAGTTTAATTTGACATGTCAGGTGACTTTAAATAATAAAAATAAATCCATGGCAACTGCAAGTTACAGTGAAAATGCATTCATATATAGAATATGAAAAATATTTGATGCACTTGAAAGGATTGATTAAACAGTTAGAAACTAAATGTCCAAATTTGTTTAGCCTTTGATTAGCTCTTTGCAGTATTCTTAAGTCGTACCTCTTTACTGTTCCATGTGATGGTATTGATTTGCTAATTGGTCTTCAATAGCTGTAATACATCATACTGGAGTGTGTATGTTTGTGTATATATATGTGTGTGTATATATACGTATACTCAAGAATGTGTATTTGTAACTTCCTGTAGTGTTTGCTGTCTGAAAAAGTTAAAATGCATGGAGGTACAGTTTCTTTGCTAGGTGAATGCTTGCAATGTGAAACCAAGAATTGCACACCAACTTGTAAAAACCAGGCAAATCAACTTACGCTTGTGCAGCAGTCTGACTAAGCTCATGTAACTTATTACTGTGAGATCAAGGTGGCAGAAATGACCCTAAAGGACAGCAAACTCTCTAGAAGCAGACATGTATATGTAACTGGTTATAATATTTTTTTTTATTTTTTTTAACACGTCAACAGAGCTGAAGAGGTCCTTGTATGCATTATTCTCACAGTTTGGTCATGTGGTTGACATTGTGGCTTTGAAGACTATGAAGATGAGAGGACAAGCTTTTGTTATATTTAAAGAACTTGGATCATCTACCAATGCTCTGAGACAACTACAAGGCTTTCCATTTTATGGGAAACCAATGGTGAGTTATTTTGTTCTTTATACATAACAAAAATTTATTGTGGTATGATGCAGTGTTTGGGTATTTGCACCTTAAGAATTAGCTGTCACGTGTAATTGTGCTGTTATTCAGTGATGACCTCTCTCAATTAATAGATATATTTATGCAAACTTGAGGAGAGATTGGAGAGACGGTACTTAAAGTACAGTGAGGCTGAACTTAGCATTTAGGTATCTTAAATGATGGCATTATGTTTTTCTGTGGTAGGTTGAAGTTTTCAAGATCGGAAATGCTTCCAGCTTACACATCATGTCTTCTGCTGAACAGATAAAATTCCTGTAGTAATGTTCTTGAAGTTAGGTGCTTTCTGTTGAAATGATCATTATTGATTACTTAAGTTGTTCATAGTTAGACTACGATGCTTCCATTTTGAGGCAGCAGTGAGTAGGGTGAAGATCTCTAGTTTTATTTTCCAGAAATTGGCAGATGTGGTCAGTAATATTTTTTTTTGAAATTGTTGACTAGTTTTGCTTGTGCATACATCAGATTAGCAAGCCAAATGACCAAATTTGGGTATCGCTTCCGTGATGCAAAAGCACTACTACTCAAGAAAAGCTGATTTAATAGTGTACTTGATTAGAGGCAGAATGGCACAACAGTTGGCACGTTTCTGTTGTTGCCTGCTTGGATAACTATGCATCTCTGATAACATGCAAATGGCTCACTTGACTTCAGTGCTAGATGGATATATTTGTACTGGCTTTCAGCTCGTGGCTTTGAGTGTTAAGGAGTGCACAGGCTGTTGTGTTGCTGAGTCGCAAGCTTGTTTCATTGACACTTTCAGATTATCTAACAAATTCTTTAATGAGGAATTGTGCAAGCTTAATTCTGTCATTTGCCCTTAAAGATCTTTGTGCTCTGTAAAACTTAATAAGAAATAAACTACTAAATAAATTGAGGCATTGTAAGCTTTTGGGCATACTTTCCTCTTTAAATAATGACTGCAGCACGCATACTACATCTGGCAACATATAAAAGCTTAAAAAAATTTTTGCCTTGTGTAATTCTGTATTGAGGTAGTTCCAATAAGTGATAAGATTGTAAATGTGTGCGCACATGTGTGTACACGTTGACATATATAATGTTATGTCATCTGTAAATTTCTAACTGAATCCGTTTAACTCCGTGAATTTGTGCATTGGGAAGCCTCTGTCAGAAAAATAATGCAGTTGTGGTGCTGACAAAATTGGTGCAGTTCAGGTTGAATTAAGGCAAGTACTTCACTTTTTTATTTGAGTTTTACTGAACTCATTTTTTCTGCAGAGATCTGAGAAACTACTGTGGAGTGTTAATGCCTAACACCCCCCTTCCTGCCCCTGAATGCTTTAAACCCCTCATTTTTTTAAATAGCATCTGGTGGCAGTTTTGTTAACTGACGTTATATAGCTTTGTACAGCTGTTACCTTGATAGACATTAAAAAGGTGCCATTAGCTGATTAGAGTTCCGATTCCAATGAGTGAGGTAAAATTAGTAATTTCTTCTCATGAGTGGTCCATCTGAGTTCTTAAAAAGTTCTCTAGTTGTGATCAGAATCAATTATGAGGATTGCGTACTCTGTAAGCATACCTACAACTTACAACAGTATTTTTAATACAAGAAGTTTCTACAAAAATACCACGTCAGTAGTGCGCAAGTAGAACACTGTCAACAAAGTTGCTACAAGATTTTTGGTATAATAAACAACAATGTATTTTTTCTTTTAAAAAGCGTATTCAGTATGCAAAAACAGACTCTGATATCATCTCTAAAATGCGTGGCACTTTTGCTGATAAAGAAAAAAGGAAGGAAAAGAAGAAGGCCAAATCTCTGGAGCAGTCAGCAAATGCCGCAAATAAAAAGGTTATCCAGGTAAGCTGCTGTTGTTTTAAAAAACAAGGGGGAGCAGGCTATTCAGGTTTTTCTTCTGAAGACTAATTATTGTCTTTTAGTATTTCTCAGTTCTTTGAATTGTTGTCTGTTGATACCTACTGCTCTCTATCACTCACTAGAACACAGGAGAGAGAGCAATTACTTAGTCCTTGCTGCTTTTTTATAATTTCTTTCTCATTCCTGTTCTTGGATGAAAAAGATAAAGGGCAAAGGTACAATAAACCAAAGTATAAACAAACATTTTTTTATTTTTAAAAACAACTAACGAGAGGTGGCTTTAATGTTGGCTTTAATATTATCTTCAAATGCTCAACCAGCTCTTCCCTTCAATGTTTAAACGCTTATTTGCACTACAGACACTGAAGAATGGCAAAGGGGTAAAAGGGAATAAGATTACCCATTTACAGTTAGATGGGAAGGAGTTGGCTTGGAATATATCTCCACTAAGGGTTGTCCTGACATAAACTAATAACGTTTAGTCACTTATATCCTCAAGTTTAGTAGAAAATACCAAGGTGCAGGGTTTGAATATTGTGTTACCCCACTACTGTTCCTGCTAAGACATAATTAAGGAGAGATCAGAGCGATCATAGAAAACAACTTTTTCCAAGTAGAATATTAAATTTTCTCACAATTTATTCAAAATCAATGGTTATATACAAACCTTTTAGGAAGAATTAGTTGTCTCTATTGATAATGGTAATAGCTTTAAGCTATCCTTTGTAAACTGCTGTCGGAACATCTGGTTTGATTTTTCTACTAGATGTGTCCTGTCTAGGCCTTCATTTTCAGAACAACTTCCTGTCTTATAGAACTGAATTTTATGATGTGGAGAAGTAGTGATTCTGCTGACATAGCCATTAGTTAGATGTTTTTTTCTTTTGTTGTCTGGTTTTGGGGTTCAGTGAAATGTACATGTTGTTGTTTCCCTACAGCAGGTATTTCATAAACAACGAATGTTCCTTGGATTATGGTTTAATCAATCAAAATATTAGACAAACACACTAACCTTAACATACTGCTCAAGTTTTACAGAAACATGGTGATGTGTGTTTATATATTTCTAACCAAATATCTTTTAAAAACTATTTTTACTTATTTACTAGGGAGCAACACAAAATTCAGCCAGTGCCCCTGGGACTTCACCACAGAATCAGCAGGTAACGCTTGTTTTTGTGACCAAAACCGTTAAAGATTCTGAAGCTTAAAAGCTAACAGGGTTTCTAATCAATATGTTTTAATAGAACACTCTCTAGTAAAACCAGTGTTTTGTGTGGTTTTCAGTTGCTCAAAGAAACTCAATGGTTCAGTTCTACTGTAGATGAACAGAGTATTTATTGTGGCCTCCAACTGTTCTACCAGAGAGGGAGCTGTGGAGGGCTTGAGTTCATCACTTCCCCCACAGGTATCTTGGATGGCCTGAATAATCTAAAATGGCCTACGGGTAGTTGTCAGGCACCTGCTTTGGTGGAGTACTGCAGCATAAACTGTTGAGCTGTCAAGTTTAAATAAGATGTCTAAGAAAATACATTAATGTGATTTTTTTTTTTTGTGGAAGCAAGAGACCCTCTACATTTTTATCACCGTGAGATAGACAGTTTGAAAAAACAAATGGGGATTTGCCTGAATGTTGCATGAAGGTATCCTAAAGCCCAACTAGCAGTATTCTGAGTAAAAACTGAGAATGCACGAGTCTTAGTTCAAATAATAATGCAGATAGGTTGCAGAGGAGTGGACAGTTGCGGATAATCTGCTGAGCATTGTTCTTCTGTTGCAGGTACCTGATAACCCACCGAACTATATCCTTTTCCTTAATAACCTACCCGAGGAAACGAATGAGATGATGCTGTCCATGTTATTCAATCAGTAAGTTTTCAGTTCTTTGAATCCCTCTGTTACCTTTATGCTGTCTCAGTTGGCAAGTTGATATTTTAGAAATAAGAGGTTTTGAAAGTATTTCAGTTTTCTGTGTTACTGCCAAGATTACAGATGTCAGATGTCTGATGTCTTGGTGCAGAAACCAAGTGCAATTTTCTTTTTTCTTTTGAGTTGCTTTTGATTGTGTAAGTTATCTATTATCAATCTGCACTGGATTTGAGTTAGTGATCAATATGAAAGACTTTACAATATCAGGAACGGTTTCAAAACTGGCTTTAGTTGCTTCTGCATGTGTGCAAGACTGATTGAATTACTTCCACAGAATGATCCTTAGGTCCATAGTTATGGGGACTGGACATACAAAAAATTCTTCAGTTGAATCTTTTATTAGTAGTAATTGTTATACTAGTAGATGCATATGGTAAGGTCCTATGGCTACTGAAGAGATATAAATTATCAAACCAGGAAATAATATCTGACTCTTTCAATTTCTTTTAAAGGTTCCCTGGATTTAAAGAAGTACGATTAGTGCCTGGGCGCCATGACATTGCATTTGTGGAGTTTGAAAATGAATGTCAAGCAGGAGCTGCTCGAGATGCCCTCCAGGGATTCAAGATCACTCCGTCTCATGCCATGAAAATCACTTATGCTAAGAAATAACTAGGCACTCTTTAAAGGACTTCTTTGGATTGATTTTTTTATCATGATGATACTTAGATCAGCTAGCATGTTAGCTGTTCTATGCAGAAAAGATAAGACTGTTGTGTAAAATGGCCACAGCTGTTGGGCCAGTTGCAGGACTTCCATGGATCTGTTGAATAGTGAACTTTTGTGCTAAAATGCCATTTTTTATAAAATAAATATAGTTGATGCTGTTTTCAAACGATGTTTTTCCTTGAATTTGTCTTTCCTTGAATCTGTTAGGCGTGCAGGGCCAATTAATTATATTGGTTTAACTACGTTTAAGGTGGTCTTCGTTTCTCAGAAGTGAATGCTGGAAAAATAGCCATCTCTTCAGAGCAAAAAGCATGAGCAGGTATACTAAGTGTCAGCATATTCAGAATGCAACACTCGGTTTTCAGTACTTTTATCTTAAGTCTTAAGGCAAGACATTAAGGCATTATCGTTGTCTTAAGACAAAATTACTCTCACAGAAAAGCAACATTATCGTTGAAGTCTTTTTTTTTTCTCCAGGTACTGGTAGACATTGATTAGACTTCGATAGCATTGTTCAACTTCTTTGGTTTTGTCTCTGCAACGATGGCTGGTAATAGAAGCAAGTGTATAGAGGGCCCATAAAAGCTTATTTTTCCAATCCTCCGTTATTTTCCAGCAGTTTTAATAAATGGTTTAGGAAAAGCTTTCTTGCTCTATACAAAGACATTGCTGATATGTCTGACAGTCTGACAGACGGGTTTTTCAAAATGCGTGTCCTAATGTGTATGGTTTGCTGAGGTCTTTTCCATTTGTTTAAAACAGTTAAGGGGCTTGTTGGACATGAAATACACTACATGCAGAGAATTAATCAGATGCAGTACTGGGAGCTGTAACTATTATAAATACTTGCATGGAAAAAAATTGCTTCAAGAGCTGGAGTGCTTTGTTGAGGTGAAGGAGGACCTAGGAAGATATTTTAGGCTAAGAGAATAATGAAATTTTATTAAAAGTATTATCATATTTCTGGTGGAACAGTAAGTTTTGCATGGTGATGTCTAGAAGCATTTCTATCAGACCTTTGGAGATCCATGTTTGAGAGGAAGGGGTGATGTGTTTGTGCTGGTCATGTTGCACCATTCCTCAATTCTTAAATTCTTTCTCTGTGAGGCCTCTAACTACCCTTTCAAAAATGTAATGGGATGGAATCAGCACAACTTTCTTCAGAAGTGGTTCAGGCAAGTATTAGAGTACCTGATGTGAAGACCAGAAACTACAAGGAAGAATGTTCAGATTAGCATAGCAGCTACATTGGAAGTATTGAGGCTTTTTTGTTTCCAGAGTAAGTAGGTCAACTGGAAAAAGAGGGAGTATGCTGGTGGCTGTAGCTCTTCCTGTTACCATGGCTTGTTGCAGTCCCTACCTGTGTTGTGTGGGCTTAGTTGTAGCTGCAGAACATTGTTTTTCTTAGTTTGTTCTGAGAAGATTGAGATTTCACTTCAGACTATTCTGTGGACGAAGAGCTGTGCTTTTTATTGCTTTTTATGAAACCTTGCAGAGCTCCGTATTTTGGCACGTCAGCACAATTTCTGAGCAAGTGCTGTTTCAGGGCATCTGAAACTGCTACATGAAACTTTTTTTGCACAAGATCTGCAAAACAAACAAATTGATCTTTTTCTCAGATCACACTGCAAGATGATGCTCTTTCCAGTAGTCCTGATTAATGTCATTAATCATGATTAATTTCCATGTATGCATTTTTCATTCTTTTTAGTAAATTCACAAATTTAGAGCACTTGCAAGTGAATTTTGTTTGTGCATCTGTAAAGAGTAAAAGTGATTATGTTCTGTCATTAACCTCGGGTTTTATCCTCTGCAGTTGCAATTTTGTAGGTATTAATGATGCTGTTCTTGCTTTCCACTATTTCATGTATGTGAGACTCCTTTGCATACTGCCACACTCTACCTTGATTCAATTAGAAGGGTTTGTGTGGAGCTGTCTGCAAAAAAAAAAAAGAGGGAAGAAGAACAAAAGTGAAGATGTATGGGAGGTTGGAGGAAGGAGTAATGGAGTAGTGGGCTGGAAGGCTAGAGGAGGGTGTTGTTAAGTCAGCTGTAATATAAGGGTGATGTTAGAAATAGCAAGATGCTCGTTCTTTAAAAAATAGTGTGTTTTTTCAATGACAGTTGTCTGAAAGATGGTACAGCTGGTAGCTCTTCAGGCCTTCTTGTGAATCACAGAGCACTGATGGGCTGGAGTGCCATTTGGGGAATTCACACGCTTGCTTTTGGTCACTTCTAAGGACTGATCCAAACTAGCTCTTTGTAGCGTGACAGCTGTGATGTGAGCAGTTTACAGTGTAGTAACTCAGGTTTCTCTTTGTGTGTGTGTGTGCATATATTTTAATTATAATACTCCTATTTTTCTCCTTACATATATGTTACAATGAGATCTTGGTAACTTAGATCAATTCTGGATGTCCTAAGGCATAATGAGCACCTCTTAAGTCAGTGGCATGGTATGTTTTTAGGGTCCTGCATCTGCAAATCTCAACTGAGTTCAGCTGTGTAAATAGAAGTGAGATGGCCACTACCCTGGCACAACCTGAGTACTTTGCTCTTCTCCTGCATCTTCCCATGGAAAATAAATCTTGCCTATACAACTATGCAATGCTTGAATTTTAGACCACCAATTTAAACGTCTGACTTGCCAAGCCTTATTACTGGGTTACATTTGCATCTATGTTTTAGGGTCCTCATAGGGCCTGTCTGTGGGCTGTAATGAGGAAATTTCTGCCGTGGTGGGTTTATGGTGCAGGGAAGACGGTTTGTCAGTGAGTGTACGTGAGAATAAAGGACTGAAGGATTTGAAAGGATGTGATTTCCTTTCCCACTTACCACAGTCCGACTTAATTTTTCATTCTCAGACAATTTTTGCTTGAGGTAAGATTAAGCCTATGGATGACTACCGGAAGGCTGAAGAATGTGTAATACAGTTGCTCACTGAAATGCTAACCCAGAATGTGTTCGGGAAGGGATTCTGTTTTGTAAGTGGAACCTGAGTCTTTCCTCCTGCCTGCAGCTCCTCCTGTAGCAGTGGAATGTCCCCTCGATCCCTTCCCATTGGCCAGGGATGTTTGTCCAGATGTTTGCTTCTTCCATAAAAGATACGGATCGCTTGACAGGGTCCGCATTTGGGAGGTGCTGCGGCAAAGGAAAAAATGACACAGCGTGTTTATTTGGTTATCTTGCTTCTGTGTCTCAGATTAATGTATCCCCTTGTAACTGGAATTTTTATGGATAAACTTGCCAGCAAGAAGCTGTGTGCTGATGATGACTGTGTCTGTAAGTAATCCTGCTTTAACTGAAATTATGAGAGAATATATTCTGAAAAACAATTGTGGAGCTTGGATGGAGTTTGACAGAAAACTGCTCTGCTTATTTAGCTCATTTCTAGGTTGGTTTGTCAATTGAAAGCAATGTGGGAGGATTGATAGAGAACATCACATCCCATTTTACTGCAAACAAAATTTGTAAGGGACCTTTTTCACTTGAGTGAAAGGTAAGTGTAAAGAGGAGGACTGTGATTCCCATCCCGATGAAATACACATTCTTAAGCTGTTCATTTGCTTACTGGAGATGGAAAAATAAGCAGGACAAATTCTTGGCAGACAATAATTTCAGAATAACCTACTTTTGTCTGTAGAAGTGGTTTTACATGTGTGCATCCACAGGCATCATATAGTTATATTTCTCTTTATAAAAGTATGTCCTTAAATTCATCCAGCTCATTCTTGATCTTTTTTTTTTTTTTTCTAGACACCATTTCCCTTGTCAGAGCAGAAGAGGATTATAATGCTCCAGACTGCAGATTCATTAATATTAAAAAAGGGCAGTTGATTTATGTTTACTCAAAACTAGTGAAGGAAAAAGAATCTGGAGAATTCTGGGCTGGAAGTGTAAGACGAGATTCTTGTGTCTATGAGCAAACCAGAAGTAGATTAACGTGTACTTTTGTCAAGAAATGGATGCTAGTGTGGGTTTTGATGTAACAATTTAGTTTTCAAAGTGGGTGTTAAAACTGAAGAAACTGATTGAGGAGACTTGAGAGCTTTTTTTTTTTATTATTATTAATGTTATCTTCAATAACTGTACAGGAATTAGGCATTGAACCTTAATGGAATGTCTCAACAGTTCTTTTCTGTGGGTGCTTGATGAAACTATGGATGAGATAAACTTCTGTCACAGCTGCTCATAAAACTCTTAAATTTAAGGGAAGAAAAGATAAATATCACCTGTATTTGTATATTTAAAAAAAAATCCAGATAAACTATAGCTGGTATTACTTTACTCCAAAAATACATGCCTATGTTGGAAATTAATTGTTCATTTCATGTGCTAGTTAATTGGAGAACTAAGATATCCAGAGTAAGAAACGCTATTAGTGACTGCTTCTGACTAAATTATGGACTAGCTTAAACCAGATGAGGATGGTTGTAAGGTACCTAATTATACATCTCCTTGCTTCAAGGTTTATGGAGAAGAGTATGAAGACCATATGGGGACAGTTGGTTATTTCCCTAGCAGTTTAGTCTCAGAACAACATGTCTATCAAGAAGCAAATAAGACAGTTCCTACAACGGTAAGGAATTTGCAGAAGCCCAGCTGGCTGCATAATTATACTTGGCTGTGCAATGCTAATTTGCTGTAAAAACAAATCATAATTGTGGCAGTTGATTGTAGCATATCACAGATGCTTAGGGATGCAATCTTTGGGCCTTTATACAGGCAAATAGCCTCAATAAAATCCTAACATAAGCTCTCATAATGTAGACATTGCAAATGCTGCGTTGCGGCCTTGATACTATTAGAGTTCCTATTGATTTGAATGGTACAGCTTCAAGGCCACATCAGCCTGTTACCTGAGCTTCTTGCAATGTGTTGCAAATGTTTTTCTTCTTTGGAATCTGGACATTGTGCTGCATATTTTATTAACGTGTCCAACCCCATTTTCTATTAATTGTGTGCTTTGATTGCCATTTTTATAGAAAACTTTAATTTTACCCCCCGAACATCTCCCACTTCAGTGAGAGGAGGTCCCTGGCAAACAACTGTATGTGAAAACTCACTTTTCCACTCTTCATTCAGAAAGATGTACTTTTTAGTTCTTGTTTTCCATAGTAAAAATGGGTTAAAATCTTGGATGCAACTTAAAGAATAAAACTTTGTGTTCAGAGTACGGTATGTGTATGAGAAGAGTATGCTTGCTGTCTGATAGCAAAAGTTCTTAGTACATTTTAAAAAAAGTTGAATTGCAAAGCCATTGAAAACATGTCTTTAAGTAGGCTGCACTTCTGAAAGAATGGTTCTCCCTGATCATACAGTAGTATGTTGTATAGCAGACAGTTCTTAATTTTACTGAAGGTCTGAAACACATCTCACAGAAGAGTGGAAGAGGAGGGTCCTTTCTCACAGGCTGATGTGGTCTGGCTTACAAGTAACGGTACTGGTAACCTATGTCTGTGCTTAAAACAAATTGAACGGTAGGTTTCCAATAACTACCTTCAGTAATATTGAATATTTAGTTACATTCTATTTTGAAGTGTACAGCAAAATACAATGATTAGTGAGTCAGTCTTGAAATCACATATGGAGTCTTTAATCCTAGCTCCGGATTACTAGGTGGGTTTCATTAACACAGGAAATAAGCAAAATGAAGAACTTAGTTTCACGTTAATAGTCGCTAGGATTTGCATTATTAATGTCAGACAACTTTTATATGAGCAAATGAAAATCTTGAAGTAAGTGATTGCTTTTCTTGACACTGTATTAGAATATTCTGAATTTGGCCCAGAAGCATTGTAGCAATTAGTCACAGAACATGAAAGAATGACTAAAATATGTTTCTAAGCTCTTTACTCAACAATATGACAGCCAGTCTGCTGAACGGCAAGCTGAATTGGAAGCAGAGGCAGGTTAAAGTGATGTCTCAGCCTGCAGGCTGGCTGAGGGTCCAGAATGGGACATTGCCAGGCTGCAATGCAGAACTTTAACTGGCAAGTAGAAGTTCTGCATCAGGCCTCCTGCAGAACTAAGGACACTGAGCTTCACACTCATTTCATTCTCATTTCCCATTCTTGCTATACAGGAACTTTGTGACAAAAACTTGTTGTAGCAGTTCTTTTCTTTTTTCCTCTGTTCTTGGTTGTATGTTGCAAACATGACCTTAAGTTTGACTGCAGGTTTACCTTTAAAACTGTCTACAGCACATCTTGACCAATCTGTATGGGCAACACTGCTTCTCCTTTAAAGGTTACTGTCTTATACAAGAGCTACTATTGCACAGCTCTTATATGCCTCTAATGCTACCAGTCTCCTATTTGCAAGTCAGTAGCCAGTCTTGTGCTTGCAGCTCTGTAACCCTTCAGTTACAGAGCTCTTGGCAGTAATTCAATGTTAAGCTGTTGGCAGTATTTTCCCTTGCTTTCCTGGTCTTGGACCTGTGAAGCCCAGGGCTGTTGCTACCATGGGTTCTCTCAGGAAGTGGTGACCAGTGGTATGAGAACCACCTTCTCCAGCCACTCTTTCTCCTACCCCTTTACTGCATTGTTTCATTTGCACTGGGGCACCCGATGATGCCCAAAGCTTAATGATCAATCAGCATGCACCTGCCTGATAACAGCACTGAGTAAGCCACTCAATAGTCAGCTTGATGTGTGGGGAGGAAAGGAGATCAAAGGGGGACGTGCTCCTCTCCACTGCAGCAGGAAAGAGGACATTAGAATGGGGGTCTTCATGTCATTGTCTCTCCTTTCATTTTTTTTTCCCCAAATAGTAACTTCTCACAACTGGAGTCAATGTATGCCATCAGCTACAGACCCTCCTAATAAATTCTTGGTCTTGTGAACTTCCGTCAGCATCCTTTTTGCAGTGTTAGGTAATCCATGCCTATCGGTGGCTGTTTCAAGTGATAAGTCTTGGAAGATGTTTTTCTCAGTGCTGCTACTTCTGAATTGCACTGAACACAACAGATTCAGTACAATAGACTGTGTACTACAAAGTGGTCTTGGATTGCCTTTCTTCCCTCAATCACTTAAAATTGGCCATTTGCTAGCTAAGATGAAAGTACTTTTATTACCAGTAAGCATCTGCTCTGAAACAGCTCCCTGTCTTCTGCTTCCAGGGGACAGGTACATGTGATAGGCTGGTCTAATGTATATGTTGCTCGGTTTCAGCAGCATGAGGTGACAATTCTCTACAGTAGAATCAAGATGAGATGTACATGGCTATGTAAAATGCTAGCAGAAAGCTAGATTAAAGCAATATGCTGTGAAAATGTATCGCTTGCTGGAAGTTTTCAAGCAAAAAAAAAGGCATTTATTTTCTTAGTGGGATTTCTCTGGAGGAAGTGTAACAGCCTCAGTCTGTTTAAGGTGTCCTTTCCATGTGTGATTAGGAACAGTTTAAGGATAAGGGGTTACATACAACTCTTAATAAATCCAAATATGGATGTGGGAATACAAAACAAAAAGATAAAGGATTTGCTTGAAATAAGAAAGAACATGGCATTGCCTATTTCAATTTAGAGATTTATGGCAGGAACAAATCATCCCAACTACATAAAAGGAGTTGAAAGAAAAAAAGACTTTTTTCTCCGGAATTGTGAAGTTAATTTATAGAGAACATACTTTGAGTATATTACAGTGTATTCAGTGTTTGCATCTACTTATCTACCTTTGGGGGATGATAAAAGGATGTTAATCCTTCAGTAATCTCAAAAGATCTTTCCTTTTAACTCTTTTTCAGGACATTGATTTCTTCTGCGAATAGTGCTGAAGATGGCTACGTAATCTCTAGGGTGCCACAAGAAAAGCTGACAAAGAAACATGGACCCTCTCACTGAACATATATATTTTTAATCGATGTTTATAAGATAAGTAGTGTTTCAAATGCAAAAGTTGATTTAAAGGGAGTTATTTGGGGTAGGAGGAATGGCCTCATAACAGACTTTATTCTTTAGATTATTTTTCTTATCTACATATTCTTTGCTTGTTAATAAACCTAGCCTTTGAATTATTGTATGTCTGAGTGGCATAAATATGCTATATATAAAATGGGATGTGCTATCTTCACACAATCACAGAATTTCTAAGTTGGAAGAGACCTCAAGATCATCGAGTCCAACCTCTGACCTAATGCTAACAGTTCCCACTAAACCATATCCCTAAGCTCTACATCTAAACGTCTTTTAAAGACTTCCAGGGATGGTGACTCCACCACTTCCCTGGGCAGCCTGTTCCAATGTAACTTTATTACCCTTTCAGTAAAGAAGTTCTTCCTAACATCTAACCTAAAACTCCCCTGGCGCAACTTAAGCCCATTCCCCCTCGTCCTGTCACCAGGCACGTGGGAGAACAGGCCAACCCCCACCTCTCTACAGCCTCCTTTGAGGTACCTGTAGAGAGCGATAAGGTCGCCCCTGAGCCTCCTCTTCTCCAGGCTGAACAAGCCCAGCTCCCTCAGCCGCTCCTCGTAGGACTTGTTCTCCAGGCCCCTCACCAGCTTCGTCGCCCTTCTCTGGACCCGCTCAAGCACCTCGATGTCCTTCTTGTAGCGAGGGGCCCAAAACTGAACACAGTACTCGAGGTGCGGCCTCACCAGAGCCGAGTACAGGGGGACGATCACCTCCCTAGCCCTGCTGGTCACAGTGTTTCTGATACAAGCCAGGATGCCGTTGGCCTTCTTGGCCACCTGAGCGCACTGCTGGCTCATATTCAGCCGACTGTCCACCATCACTCCCAGGTCCTTCTCTGCCTGGCAGCTCTCCAACCACTCATCTCCCAGCCTGTAGCTCTGCTGGGGGTTATTGCACCCCAGGTGGAGGACTTGGCACTTGGCATCTTGACCTGCATTTTGCTGACACAGCCTCATACTATGTATTAAATAAATGTTAAAAATACGTTCTCTTGTTGAGCCATCTGTTAATCATTTTTTGTTGCAAGCGCTATCCTCTGCTGGAGGAACTGATAGAAACTAACGGTGGGCTTTACTGTGTCTGGGACAGTGTCACCAGTGTGTCACCAGGCGCATGAGGGGAGGGAGGCGAGGGGTAATGCCCAACATGGCACCGGGCCTGCGCCTCGCCCCGCCTGCTACAAGGCCATGGTGCCAGGCAGGAGACTCTGTGGGGACGAGGCGGCCGTGCGAGGAGGCAGATTTCCAAACAAGGTGGTTGTATGCATCTGTTTTAGGCAGGCTTAATGCATCCTACCCCAGGCACATGCTAGAAGCCACGAGAACATGAAGAGTACACAGCACCAGGTGCTCGTGAACAAGCAAAACATGAAATTGCACATGAACAAAAATGGTGAGGTGATGTTTAGCAATTGTTATTGGAAAATACAAGTTTTTCCTCATGTCATCTCAGATAGTCCCTTAGAGTTGTTAACATATGCAGTTCTGCATAGATATATACAAGACGGTTGTGTAAGCTTTATATACGTTTCTCCACAAAGGCACTGTAATCCCCATTTACAGTGCAGGAGCTCCAGGCCATAACTGGGCTCTACGTGGTACAAGATGAGACCAGTGTTTATAACCCTAGACATTGCATGTAATCCTTAACCCATGTCCTTGTAAAGAAAAGCTTGCAGACAACTGCTTTCAGCTCCTGATAACTCCACAACCAGCTTATGGATGCTTCAGGACAACAACACAACAACTAAGGAAGAGAATTCTTTCTGTACAGGATACATACAACAGGGAGTAGGTACACATTACATATATTTCCCTTTTTGAGCTTGCACAAAGGACAACATTTGAACTATCAGTGAAAAACAACCTGCAATGCTTTTTTTTTTTTTTTTTTTCCTATTATGGCAAGTCTGAGGCCTTAGTAGGAGAACATGGATGGTGGCTCATTGGCTATTTATTTCTTTTTACCTTTTCCCTGTCAGTCTTTAGAGACACTGTTCTGTGGTCATCTCTTCTGTGCACACACACACACACACGAAAAAACAACAACAACAACAACAACAAAAACACTCAGTAGGCTTGCAATAGGCATCAAAGTCTGTCTTAGCTACTTGAAAACCTAATTCAGAGCCAAGACAGCTAAGGGTTCACTTTGTGTGGTATTCCTAAAGCACCTAGCTGTGAAGCAGCTTTGTACTGATGAAGCTACTTGTCTACTGAGTTCAGTCTCTAATGTGCAACTGTTGGATGGTTTCCAATTTAATGAAGCTTTATAGCACCTTTTGTCTGCACAATGTCATAGGTATTTGTTTTATACGTCCACTTTGTGTAAAACTGTCATCTCACAAGCATTGGTGACCTATGCTACAGTCTGAACTCTGGTATGACAGACTAGATAAATTTATAGCTTCATCATGTAACTTATTGGCTGGATCCTTTTTTAAGTTGTCCAAGGGAGAATTGTGACTTCATTCACTAGTCACCAGGGATGTGGTACAACAAATGCAGCAATTCCTGATCTTTATGGCCATTGCTGCTCTGAGGGCAATCTCTTCACTATATAAATGCTGCACAGAGAAAGTGTGTTGGGTAGATTTGCTTTGCAAGAGATGGTGTCTCTGCTCAGAAGGGTGGAGATGTTGCAGTCTGACATACTCATCTCTCTCAAGAGAAGATGTTTCCCCACTGTTGTTCATTTACTTAAATCATCACGTGGCTGTATTTTCAGTATGACATTTTTCATTATTTTATTGCAAATTTCACAAAGTTTGGTTAATTTAAAATTCCCACTGTTGAGACCTGATTATTGCTCGAGAATCTCTCTTGTTTTTAAAGCAAAGTCTGAGTTTCTGCCCGGCACAAAGGAGTGGAAGTGTGACAACCATAATCTTAACAGCACTGGCACGAAAAGTAAACAAAATGATTCCAGACTTGTACTATGAGATCCGGGGGAGGAAGAAATGCCAAGGGAGCATAGGATGTCTGCAGAAAACTTTTGAGTACTTGCAGTTGGCAGCACTATTAATGTAAACCTGACAGCTGAAGATCGATAGTTTTGACACTGAACACAGATCTGCTTTCTGCATTTCACATTCCTAGGTGAAGCTCATTTCAGAACAACACAGCTTGCCATTCAGACCCCTAAGTGTTCATGCTGTAGCGTACCTGGCTGAAATAAACAGGAACCGACTTTCAGGAGAAGGAGAGGAGAATCAATATTATGCTAGCAGGCAGCGGAGGATGCTTTTGATTTTCTAGCTTTTCTTTTTCCCCTACAGTGTTTATTCCCCTTGCAGTTTCCTTATGGAAATCCCAGCAATTTCTCCACTATTGTTTTAGTAAAATGTACAAAGTATCTTACATGTGGTGTGTGGTAGCCATATAACAAGACCTTATAGTCTATTTTCATTCGTTTTATCCCAGCATAGGGGAAATACACTCACAGCTTGTTCTGTGTTTTAAGTTTTGTGCTTAAACAAGACTGTGAAGGACTCTTGATGTGGCCTTAAACCACCCTGTTTAACTTGCGATCTCGTGGTATCTATTTGGGTGGCGATCCAGAAGCCTTGAAACCAAAATGCTGTGTATTTCTCAGCAAGGCTGGTTTTGAAGAAGCGGAACGCCCCTCAGTCATTACGTGAAGTAAAAAGCTTGTTGTAATTAAGAAAGCCTCCCCGCTGCGATGGGGCTTGAGCCTTGTTTGCCGGTGGGAGCAGCGCTGTTGAGTGAGCGCAGGCTGACATCTAGCGGCTCGCCTGGCCAGCATCGCCGAGCACATCCCTGCCGCCCAGGGCCCCCAGGGCTCTCCCGTGCAGCCTCCTGCCCGACCGAGCAAGGCCATCTGAAGCCACGTCAAAGTGCTCGGAGTCCTGCGCAAACCTGAAAACCTCCAATAATTAATCTTATGAAAATTATTTTCCTTATCTAAAACTCCCCCCCTCCCCCCCAATGGAATTTCTGTCCATTGTCCCTTTTCCCCCACGGAGCACCTCAATAAAGAGCCCAAATCCATCCTCTTAAAAAACCCCTTGTAGTTGCTGGGGGCTGTTTCTATGTCCCCCTGAAGCAGTTTCATCCCGGGAAGAGCAAGCCCAGCTCCCCCAGCCTCCGCAATCATGTTGGTGGCCCCGTGCCACCCCACCGGCTCTCCGCAGAACATGCTCAAATGACAGCAGCTGGCCAGCTTTCTGGTTTGGCTTGCTGGTAACAGTAAGGATGACTGAGGTTATGAAGGATTTAAACAAACTTATCTAATCCTTACTCCTGATGGCACTAACGTTTTACACCAGAGATTTTCTCCTAATTATATACACTGCTTTAATCATCTTATTATCTATTCTGCAAATGATAAACATGCCTCGGGGCTTATGAAAGATGGCAAGTTCACTGAGGGCTTTCCTGCAATGTGTTTTTTCCACAGAAAATGCGTTCCCGCAACCACAATTTTGTCATGCCAATGCACTCTGGCAACGCTAGCACTGTGTGTTCCTGAAGTGCAGCTGGCCCTGTGGCAGAGACAGTGTGCGAGGCGCCTGTGCCACAGCGTGGTGGTGCCACCAGCATGTTGGCCAACTCAGCGCAACAACCTTCAGCGACAGAAAGCAGCAGGCAGCAGAGACGGTGCGTGCCAAGTCCCTTTCTGCTCATGGGTTGCAGCATGAGGGCTTTGGAGGAGGGCAAAACTACATCCCCAGCTGCCCTGGGATAGCCTAATGAATGGCTCGCTGCTGCCCTGGCTGGGATCAAAGGGTGACTAGCAACAGCAGCTGTGAAAACCACCACCCTGGAGGGAGCAGGGGAAGGCAGGGGCTACGAATGTAGGCTGAGAGGGGGGCTCAGGCTGACAGGTAATGTGAATGCAGGAGTAAGAGAAGATGAGAAACGATGTTCTCACTTGAAATGGGGTTGCCTGTGTTCTGCTTCACCTGTGCTGTTTTTTTGCGAGAAGTCTTTCTGATGTGAGTTTGAATCTTTTATGACCGTGAGGTTTTGGAGCCCCTGTTACAGAGTATTACAAAAAGTAGTACAGAGTAGTACAAAAAGGACTTTTGTGCTGGGCTTGGCTGTGAAGTGAGACTGTGGGTGCTGCTAGGCTGTATCTCCATCA